CCTTGTTCAGCTTGAGCTGTGCTCAGCTAAACTGATTGATTGTCCCTGTATTTGCAAAAAAGTGAAAAACAAAGCTGGAGTGTGTCATTTTTTTATTGGCATCTTGTCTAAGCTGAGCATCTTGCTCAGACTTTGAAAAAGTTTTTGGTAGAGTCGTTAATGTCAGTTCTGTGGAAGAAATGCCTTTGAAAAGTGAAATTTACCAATCTGCTGGAGTCTTGGCTAAATAGCAAGTTAAATTACAGCGGGCTTCTGTGTGATGAGAATGCAATAATCCTGCTCTTTGTTCTAAGCAAACTTCGAGGCTTTGGGGCAGGGAAACAGGCAACTTGTTCTTCCCTGTGGGATGGATGGTCTACGGGGATTGTAGATGGAGAGGGGTGGGGAGAACTGAGCTTAAACCTTACCAGTCATCTCTCTGGGGGCTCACACTTCATAAGAGTTGCTAGAATGAACAATTACAAGAGTGAAAATGCTCTATGTTAAAAAAAAAAATAGTAGTATGTAAATGGAACAAAATCCACCTTGCATTTTAAAGGAGATCTATGTTAAAAAAAATGCAGGCTTCGTTTGAAGCTTTAGGAATTTCCATCACTAGTTCATGCCTCTTAGTGGCGGGATTCTGGCATTTGTGTGATAAGATGAAGGCTGTAGAATGCAATTTTAATTTGTGAGGAACAAGCTTTTCATTATTCCAGATTATTTGTGCTCTGAAACATAGGGTGAATGAGCATGTATCAACGCTCTGTAGCTTAGTGCAACTATTACAGTTCATCCAATTTAGAGAGACAAAAAGAAATAAAAGGGAAGTGGAATTAGGACAAGGAAATTATACAGATGTGTGAATGACAGCTTCTGAATGCTTAGTGTGAAATTCCTCTTCAGGGTTCGTGCAGATCCTCGAGGGATGGGGCATTTGGGAATGATTAGCTCTTCCTTGCAGTCATGGCAACGCCTCCGGAGCTCCGAGCTCCTTCCCATCTCCCGCACCTTGGCAACAGGAGCCCCAGGTTCTTACCCAGCTGCTGGAGGCTCTTCAGCTGCCCAGCACCAATTCTGAGTTACAGTCCCCTTTGCAAAGGTGGTGACCAATTTTGACCGGTGACAAAGAAGAGCTGAGGAAGCAGATACTCACCCGGCTGGGTTGGTCTTTCCCCTCAGGTCTCGGGATGCAGCAAGAGAGATTAATTTTTGGCTGGTTTGGAGCCACCCTTGATGGCTAAAAGGCAACTAAAATTGGCTCAGTTAATACTTAAAAGGGGGAACAAGATAAAATCTGCATTTCTTCTAGAACTTTGTCTTAAGGACTCGGGGATTGTTTTTCTGTTCTGCTTTGTTTGGTTTTTTTTAATTTTATATTCCTTTCTTTAGTGTTTTCCCAGTATCCATGATTTCACAATCACCCTCTGGTCACTGCTGTGTTTCCATGCTCATAGGAGCAATCTCTTTTCAGTCCTGAAATTTGTCCAGGCCCAGTAACTAGTAGCGTGCTGGTATTTCCATGTAGTGTGTTACCTAAATGGAGACTTAAACATAATTAAAAAACCATTGGACTGTTTCCCCATTAAACATACATGTCTGAGCACCAAGCAAAGCATTTGTGCCATCTCCTGGGATAGCTATTCTTCTACATTCCTCTCTCAAACCCTTCATTAAAATTTCACCACTTGTCTTGGGTGTGAATTTTCAACAGTTGGAAGACAAGTTATCTAGCATCTTCAAAATAAATGGGGAGCCTGCTTGGAGCAGCAGGCTCATTTTGCTGTAAGTAAGGGTTGGTTTTTTTCTTACTGTTTGTCATTCACAGAGAGAATTGTCTTTAAGTTGAAGGATGTCGTACGCAGGAGACACTGCGTTCACTTTTGTGGTCCCAATTTGACTGCAGAAAAGGTGGATTTCTCAGGGCTGTCCTACCACACTCTTTGGGGAGAAAGGCTTTCTGCAATTTTTAAATTCGACTTCTTAAGACTATCCCTGCATTCTTCTCAGAAGATACCGCAGTGGATTTAAAACAATCTTTTTTTTCTGTCGGTGGCTTTCAGATCAACAGATTACCAAATTAAGGTGGCATTTTTCCCTGACTTTCTTGCATATATGTCTAAGTCATAGCAGATTAAAAAAATGTAAATCCTTTCCTGCTTAAGGTAAAAGGAACAAAGGTGGCAAAGTCAGCTGCTGCTGGTGAGGTCCGTCTGAGACAGGAGCAGCCAGGGACACGGGGGGAGCCTGGAGGGAGTGAGGAGCCTCCTGCCCTTCTGCGTTTCCAGGTGCCTTGAAATCCCTTCCTCTCTCCGAAGCAGCGTCAGGCGAGTGCTGTGGAGGGTGTTTCTGAAGCAGCAGACAGTTCCGCATTCCACAGCTGCCAGTCCTACACCTTCCACAAGATCTTACACTCAAATAACAAAGTCGGGTTTGTTTATATGTATTTCTCATCAGCCTTTGTAGCTGGGACAAAGACTTCAAAGACTGGCTGTGTTTGTGTGGTCAGTGCAGAATTTAGCTGCGTTACTCAGGACCTACACCTTCCCCACAAACCCCAAGGCTGTTCTCCTGCATTGGACAGGACGCTGCTGAAAAACATCCCTGACGTGTGCTTGGCAGCGTGAGATTTGGCAGGAACATTAACTGCTTTGAATAAATCAGATAATCTGAGCTAGATATTCTAGATCAACTGCCTGACTGAAACTGGGGTTTATTACTGATTGAATGCAAACCTTTTTATTTGTGTCTGCTAAAAAGCACCGTAAAAGGTAATGGCAACGTTGCTAAGGAACTGCTTACCTGCCAGATGTGTCAGTGTGATGCAGGAGGTGGCCATGGGAACCAATTTGGTGGCAATTATTTAAAGAAAACCTTGCAGTGAAATGGTTATTGCATATGTACTAAGTATTGCTGCAGTTGCATTTGAAAAGCTTTTTTCTGGGAAAAGATATAATAACTAGAAATCCATTTAGAGAGAAGGGTCGGCGTAGGTCCTACATAAAAAATACATTACTAGAACCAGTTTTTTTGATGTATATTTTACAAATGATGTTTTGAAAATAAATGGGAAATCTGTACTGGGTTATCAGTGCTGCGTGGATTGCGAGCGGTTTGGTATGTATTCCTGGGGGACTCAGTCTTTCGCCTGATTTCATTTTTCTTAAAAAATTAATTACAGGTTGCTGTATTCCCCCCAGAGAACTTATTAACTATGTCTCACTCTCCAAAGAGTGCTTGGTTCTCGTGAGATAAAGTGCCTTAGGCTAAAAGCTGCTGATTCCCTTTCTGATTCATAAAGAATTTTTTTCAACTTGTTTCCTCCTTAGTGACATTTTTGATGAGTGATAACTAATAGCACTGCGTTAGCATCAAGGCTGCTACGATATTGTCTTATGGAGGAAGCGTATGCTGCAGGAACAATGCTTCAGGGGTTGAATTTTACTGGAAAGGTTATGTACAAAGATTATTTCCAAGCATATATGACCAAGTCAAAGAAAAATTTTCAAATTTGCTATAAACATTGAAACTGTAGGAGAAGCTCCTATTGCTTGAAACAATTTTTATGGAATATATTTACTTAGGAGTTGCCCTCAGGATGCTACCAAAATACATGTCCTAGTGACATTCTACCATAAAACCATTACGGTACCATTACCATTTTAACCCAGTAATGAATTGTATAGGAAATGTGAGATAACAGCTGGTGTGAGATTGCATTAGAATTTGTTTATTTTTCCAGTTCTGTCCCAGCTGATAGCTGTCATCTATATCTGTGTAGAGCAATTAAGGAGGAACCATTATAAAGAATTTATAATTGCAGGTAGACTTTGTTTGGATAATTAAGAGACGTTTCAGTATCGATAAAGAGGAGCATGATTGTTTCAGATGAGAAAATACAGAAAATTGTAGTTCTGTATGGTTCTGGATGAATACTTGTGTGGATCTTCTTTTAAAAAGGCAGAGATTATTTCATGCCTAGATGACTGCAGTTGGGCTTGCCTTGTTTTTTCACTCTCCAGGCTGTTCAGGTTGCGTGGCTCGGCCACTGTCACTGTGGCTCTTGGAGCACGAGTGACGTCGTGGCAACGGAAGGGAATTGGGATCTTTTTCTGGAACCGGCTTCGAGTCGAGTGCGGGGGCTCAGCGGGCAGGGACGGACCACAATATGGGTGTTCTCAAGGCCTGGGACAACTCGGATTAATTAGGTTTATTCTTTTGTAAAACCAGCATATATTTATGTACATAGTCCAGAGTGGGGCTGGAAAATATGTCCAAGTAGGGAAACCAGGCTGTTTTGCACTTGTATTTGCACGTGTGAAGGTGTTTTAGTATTACAGGGATAAGAATCTGTGCAATTACCCTGGAAGATAGTTAGGGAGACAGTAAAGTTTTTCAGAAGGTACTGTTTGAATGCCAGGGCTCATAAATTCAAATAATTTGCACTGTTGGCAGAGGACACCTTTCATTTGCACTGTAAAAAAACATCTGTGGCCTGGTGACCTGTGGGGCCAGTCCCATTCTTAGTTCCAAGTGGTGAAGAGGACCAAACGCTTCTCTCCCAGTTGGCTTCAACGTGCTCACTTTGAAACAGTGGAGCAGAGAAGTCAGGTTCTTTCTTACTGCAGGAAATGAACCTTTTCCAGTGCTGGAAGTCCCCTTTGGAACAGGATTAGGACACGCTGATGGAACTAAGTTACTTGAAAGCCTCTGAGCTTACCTGCTTTCACCATCCTTATGTCTTGTGGGAGGCCAGGTTGTCTGAGCTACTGTTCAACACTTCTTTGTGCTAATTGGAAGGTCTGGGTTTAATTTATTTAACACAGAATGTGTCTCTGCAGTATACTCTAAACAAGCATATATTATATCTTTTTTCTGTAGACAGACTCATTCCTCTTCGAGAGTCCTGCAGGATTGTTTCTTTGTAAGGCAGAAATGAAAAGTGATTCTTCTAAACAGCATAGGGACCAATTTGATTGTCTGAAGGTATTGCCTAATTAAAACTTCCATTTGTCTTCCAGACACCCCGAACATGTGAAAACTTTATCAAGTTGTGCAAGAAGAACTATTATGATGGAACAATTTTTCACAGATCCATTCGTAATTTTGTGGTGAGTATTGAACAAATCCTGTGTAATGCACGATATGTGATGTCCTCAAAATAGTTATTTAGCTTAATTCCATTTTAGTTTCTTCCACGCATGGCAGCTTGTAGTAGATGCATATTAAATATACATCAGAGCTAGGATTGTCCTAACTTAGTAATTTGTACTTACTAGTCTTACTAACTACTGTTTCTGCCTAACACTGTCACCTGGAGCATCGCTGCATTTGTCAGTGCTTTTGCAGCTGAATTTCTGATTCAGCTGGTGGTCGTTGCTGTCAGCTCACCCTTCCCTGAGCGTGCCCAGGGCTGGGAGCCCAGGCTTCCCTTGGGAAGGACTTAGAGCCCCTCCTCCACTGGAAAGTTGACTTTGGTGGTCAAAGATCTTTATTTACATGGGTACAGTCCAGGCAGCATAGGATATTGTAGCTGTTGTTTCATTTCCTTTCAGAATTAACAGCCTGACCTTGAAGGCAGTGCATCTCTTTCAGGGGACGTCACTGAATGTTACATTCCATCCTGTCATCCTAAAAAAAGTTGTTTTTCTTTTGACAGCACTGTATATCCCAGTTCATAGTCAAACTCACAATTAAAATTGTGCTTGTGTGCTGTTACTGTGAAGCTAGTCATGGCACGCTCCCATTACCGGCATTAAAATACAGAATATTATTTCTGTAGATCCTGCATATATATAAATATAGTGATTAATTACATTGCTGAAAGGTTGGTTTCATGTGGGGATTTTTCCTGCTGCAGATAGTGAGGGGGTTACTGGGAAATACAGACCCAGATACAGAAAATATTCCATATTCCCTCATTTCTTGCCTTCCCATCAGGTGGAGGATCAGTAGCAAAATGGAAAGACTTTTCATTTCCAAAAGCAATACATCATCAGTTAAAAAGCAGGTTATGACCCAGCACATAACGGAAAGGATGATCCAGTTAACCCATTTGAGACTGTTTATTTTCCCTATTTACCCACAAGAGACCTATTATTTTCATAAAACTGTCATTCTGCTCCTGGGTAAGTGATGTAGGAGATGACAGGAGCTGATAAAAGAAGCTCCAAATAAGTAGTAATGGTTTCCTTATTGCTAACTTGTCAACATGACACAACATAGAAGGAAGCAAATTGAGCAGAATTGGGTTTTATGGCTTGCATTTAATGTCTTTCACACACATATAGATATGCAACCTATTGATTTTATTGAAATTCCGCAGATCCAAGGAGGTGATCCGACTGGAACAGGAACAGGTAAGGCTGTTTGAATCAAGTAAACTGTTTTCACTTCATGCGCTGTGTTGTTACATTTGTTTAGAGGCACCTTGTAGATTAAAATCCTCTAAATCACGATACGTTGTACATTGTGAGTATTTCTACTTTAAAGCATAGGTTTTATTGCTACGCTTTTATGACTGTTTTAACTCTGCTCAAAATTTCATCTGATATATTCTCAGTCTAAAACTTGGGCACTCTTCCATGTAGAATTCTTGTTGGGTCTTTACTTCCTTTTTCTTCCAGAAAATAAATAAATAAAAATTATAATGATTTTACAGCTGGCCTTCCAGGGCAAAGAACAAAGGAAGAAACACATTCAAGCAAAGTTGCTTTCAAATTCAGTGTTAATGGAATACTTGAGACCTGCCTGGGAACGGGTGGATGGCCAGATACCATCTGTTCTCCCAGCTAGCTGCCTTCTAAAGCCCAAGCTGCTCTTTTTCTAACTTTTAGGGCTCACTGTTACTAAAGTCTCCTGCCTGTTCTTTCTCCCCTAGTTGGAGATCCACATGGTAGCTGTATCAGAAATGGTCAGGACACGTAGCAGCTGAAGGGTCCTCAGAACATTGCCCACCCCAGTAGATGTGTCACAGCTCTGGTTGCTGCTGTAAATTTGCTCATTTTCCACTTGTACCTTTTATTCACCCTCTTGTAAATGTCACCAGCCTCCACAGCTCCTCCTGGCCTGCTCCTGTGGGGTTTGGTGCATATTTATTCTGACTCAGATGTGTCACTTCTATAGGCAAACGCTATACTCTGCGTGTGCTCACAGGTCATCCAAAAAAGGTGTCTTCGTAGTTGTTAAATACTTTAGCTCTATTTACTTTCTAAATAATGTTTGTGTGAGCTGCCCACCAGCTTTTTTTCTGCCTCATACGATAATCAACAGCTGCATACTCTAAAGGTTCTGTGTTTTGATGGCCAAAGGCCATTAACAAGATTTGCTACTGTATATGCTTGGATTGTCAAAAGAAATGTGATTTGATTTTGTTGTAAGGAAAGTTTCCGTTCAAATCCCAAAAGACATAATTAGGGACATCTTTTAAAATGAGAAATTAAAGAGGTGTCAGGAGATAAGAGAAATTTAATGGGTTGACTCAGACACCTTTCACCCTTTTAGGGTGGCATTTGGATCCTGCTGTGGAATGAAAATGAATTTGCTGGTGTCGTTCTTGTGGCTGCTTGTGCCAGTGGTGGGAGCATTGGGAGACAGCACAGTTAACAGTTGGCAGAGGACTGGTGGTGTAGCTGCAGTGGAGGTCAAGGCTCAGCTCTACTGGCAAAGCAAGTAGGAAGTAAAATGCAAATAAGCCCATAGGAGGAAAAAGCACCTATGTATATTCTTGTATTTAAAAAGAAGGGAGTCGAAAGACCTCTAGTTTTTCCATCTTTCCCTCCTTGTCATTCTTAATTAAATATGACTATTGCAGGCACGATATCTGGCAAACACCTGTCAAGATGACTAAAGGACTAATAAAAAGGAGAGTGTACACTCAAATATGTATGAGTGTTGCAGATTTTTAGAGACTGTTTGCAGTTAGTGGAGAGTCCAAACAATGCAGCTGTCTTATTTGCAACTGAATGGGGTTTGTTTTTTGAAGACTGAATTTTAGATACCCTTACTTAATCACTTACTGAATATGATAATATCATAAGAAGATGTTGTAAATGGACAGGCTGGTGGGCTACTGGATTTCTCTTGAGCTGTCAAGCCTGTGTGTTTAATACTTACTTAAACGGAGCCGCTTAGGCAGTGCAGAGAGTCAGTAGCCTGTCGGGATTTGTTCCTGAGCACCCGGCAGATCCTGGGCACTTGGATGTGAGGTAGAGATTTCTCGTGCACATCTGGAGCCACATGCTGTGAGAAGGTGGCCAGACCAAAGGTCCTGCTGGCTTTATCTCCTCTCCAGCAGCACAGCCAGAGGCCAGGCACAGCCTGGAAAGAGCGATGCTTCCCAGGCCCCTGGGGCATAAGCATTTTGGTCCATTGGTTTGTGTGTTACTGATGTGATCACAAGCATTCCTGTTAGGAAAGCTTTGCAGCAAAGCACTGGGATTCACTACTTTGTAGCTATTTTACCTGGGTCTTGTATGCTATTTGCGGTGTAAATTCCCTTTTTTATTTCTTTTGGCGCTTGGAAGGGATTCCAGTATTTCTTTGACTCACTGCTTCTTAGAAAAAAAAATAGAGATGCATCTTTGAAAGCTAAAAAGTCCATGAAATTTAATAGTCTTTAGAGGTTTACTGGGGGAGTAAATAGCTTGACTTCTGTAGTATCAGAGAAGCATATGAGAGCAGAATAGGGCTTTCTTCCCAGATATTTCATTTGGCAGTAGGGAAGACCATTCGGAGGTTATCTTTTAAACATCAGTATTTTAAACTGCCAGAATTGTTTCTGTTAGAGCCTTTTGTAGGCAGACTTCAGAAAAAAAAGAACATTCTTTGTTTCCTCTTCCACATTGAAACTTCTGCTTTAACTGAAATTTTCTGGCTAAGGGGTTTGGGCTAGTTTTTTGCTTGTTTAAAAAAACCCCACACCTTTTCCAGTGTGATAGGTGGAAGATGCAGTAAGCCTGTGTATAGTTTTGTTTTGTTATGTTTATTTAGTTATTCCTGTTCATCAGCTCGGGAACTAGAACAGACTTGTTCAGAAACCTTCCCACCACTCGGTTGCTGCTGTCTGATGTGCAGCCCGTGTTCAGCAGCAGGTGTGGGGTTATGGTTGTACCCCCCAAACCCTGCTCTGCCAGCTGACCCCAGGACTGTTGGGCTTATGGGTGGGTTTGGGCACCCTCAGTGCAACGTGCTGTATGGGGTGTCACACGTCCCTGGGCTGCAGCTGGGCTCTCGGCTGACCAGGATATGCCTCTTGTGTTCTGGGAACATCTCCCAGGTGGAAAACGCCGAGCTGGTTGTCAGCATCCACTGCTGCAGCTGAACAACCTGTCTGTAAGCAGTGCTGAGCCTCCGTGCTTTTTTATTCGTTATGCAGCACCCCAGTGTGTCCTCCTTGAGTCTCTCCTGAAGCTGTGATAGTTGTGACCCAGCAGACCTGGGAGGGACAGCCAGTTCCTGGTACTCGGCAGTTAACCTTGAGATGGAGGAGGGTAGAAATTAGCATTATGGCATCAAGAAGTTGAGATACACAGTGGGAAAAGAGTGGGGAATGGAGTTTTACCTTGGCTCAGCTGGCAGCGCATTGCCCAGGCATTTAGATATATGGTCCTGTGAGGCTGACACTGATTTAGAGGACCAGACTCATTTTCTACAGCCTTGGACTTCATGTTTCATAAGACTACTGGGAGAAATGTTATTGTGCTGCAGCAGCTTATTTCTTTTCTAACAAAATAACCTCCCATAGAGGCAGTATTCAGAGCAATAAGCTGAGTCATGGTCATTCTTTGTAATGATTAGTTATCTGAAAATGAATTTTATATTTGTGATGTATCTCTTTTCCTGCTGTTCATAACAACTAAGTGGTTGAACATTTGTGAGTAATTCTGGCTAACTCATGCTAGTGCAAGTGGAGCAGCTGCTCTGCATTTTCAGTGTTCCAAATAATGTAAGAAAATTTGCATGTTGGAAAAATAGGTTTAATATCTTAACCCTTTTGTATGAAAAAGGGAAAACTATATGCAAACCATTACATTTTCAAAGGCACAGGCATTTTTCAGCTCCTCTTTACTTGCAACCTGTTGGAGGGTCTCATGAACAGGCTTCTGTGTGCCTTTGTTTGTTTAGGAATGCAGGAGGACACAAAGGAGGCAAATAATAGACTATAAAAGCCCAAGGTAAAGCACTGGTGGCAAATGGGAGTTGGGTTTTTGTGGGCAGCCAGCAGAGCTCCCAGCAGCAGTAGCAAAGGGCTGTGGACAGACTCAGTCAGTTCTGCACTGTGATTTCCAAACAAGGCAAATTCCTAAAACGTACCCAGTTCTAGAGCCCCTTTTCTTGCATGATTGAAGCTCAGCCAAAGAACAGGAGCGAGAGCTTTTTATCCAGCACCACCCTGCTTTTGTGTGGCAGCCCTGCCTGGAGCCCAGCCGCGGTGCGTGGGGCTCAGGGTGCTGTGCCCTCTCCTCTGGACGGGGAGAAGCCCTTTCTGGCTGAGCTGGCGCTTTCGTCTCTGCAAAATGATTCAAGAATCTCACTTGGAGAGCTCCACAGAAGTGTCAGATGTTATTGTGTACCTCGTTGTTCCAAATGACAAGAAGAAAATTACAGAAAGTAAGCCATCATTTTTGTGAATCAGAGCCCTCCCACTTCCTTACCACTGCTTAGCAATTTTTATGCCAGAAAAAGGAAGGATTTATTTAAAATCACAACTGTCATGAATGATGATTCCCAGCCCACACCTGGTTCTCGGAATGCTACATTTCTGAAGCTTTAGGTGCATCTCTCAGCTCTATGCTCAGTTGTACAGCTTCTGTAATTTTACCCAAAAAAATATTTTCTGAAAAACATGCCTTTAGAAGGAGCAAAGATTACCAAAGAGTAAGCTGGTTTAGTTCAAAAGGCAATCTGAGAACATGGCTTTTTCCTGCATAGTTGCTAATATGTGGCTGCTTCAGATGTCACTGTAGATCTGTTCACCTTTTCACCATCAGCACAAGGTGCAGAGACTGAACAACTCCCTGTGCTTCAGTTCCAGGCTGCATGTATCTGGCCACTCTGGACAATGGAAATGATGAACACAGTTTCGTTTTTTCTGTGAGCTGTGTGGTGTTTGGTTTCACCCCTGTGTGAGAATTAGGCAACGCCTCTTTAATTTCAGAGAATTTTTCTCTTTTATTAAAAATGTGGGGAAGTGGCTCCCAGCTGCCTCCAGCTTGGAGTCTTGGGTGTCAGGGCGGGCAGGTGACCCTTATTTCACAGAATTGTGCAAAAGCCTCCTCCCAGCCCATGAAGGCTTTCACCTTCCTCTCGGAGGAGGATTTGGTGGGTATGAGGAGCAGCCTCCTCTCTTTGTAAGGTGAGTGTAAGTGTCAGTGTAAGGTGAGTGTAAGTGTAAGGGGAGTGTAAGTGTAAGGTGAGCCAGGCTGCAGGATGGTCCCACCTCCCCTGTCTGTGTCCCTTCTGCTCCCAGGAAATGAGGGAGATGGCACGGCCGTGTAGGGACTGTGCACAGTAAACTCTGCTGGGTTCTGACAAATGCCTCCGAATTACTGCCACTAGGTCTGGAGCCTGGGGGTTGGTTTCCCAAGTTTACATTGAGCTCTACCATAGGGAGTAAAAGGTGAGGGTCTAAATGCCTGTGGCCGTGCGCTGGGCACTGTGCTGCCGTGGCAGGAGACCAACGAGGGATCTGTACTTAATCTTCAGTGAGAAAGTGGTTCTGGGTTTCAGTAATTAAAACAATGCATACATTTAACTCTCCCTCTTCTGGCTTGCTCTGTCTGGTCCCACTGCAAGCAGACACTCGAAGCCTGGAAGGATTCCAGGGGTTAGCAGGAGTTTGTCAGACAGCACAGTCAGGCTATTTTTAACTTAAGGAAAATACATTTAGGGGTTTCTTTTTCTTTCTTTCTTTCTTTTTTTTTTTTTTGGTATTCTTAAATTAAAAATTTGAGGTTTTTCTTTAAAAAAAAACAACAAAAGCCAAACTGTCCTTGCAGTGCTGTCTCGCTGCCTTTGCAGTGTCCCAGAGGGTGCTGCCAGGGCTCTGTGGACACTTGAGCCGTGTCCTTCATGGGACACCTCGCCCTGTGCCCAGCACTGCCCAGGCCTTTCCTGTTCTTCCTGCAGCTCCCGGCGGAGGGATGAGCCTTGGAACAGCCATAGGAGGGGGAGGCAGGGTCTGGGTCTCATCCCATAACCACCTACTAAAATATTAGCACTTATTTCCAGGGAACTGAAATGAACCAAAGTGAGCCTTCGTACGTATCAGATTAGTTGTGACCCGCAGTGTATGATCTGAAGTGGAATCATACAAAAATAAATACTGCAAAACCTAAAGGTCGTTGCTCATTTCTCCTGTCTGCAAGCTCTTGGGTCTAGGTGCTTGTGGTGCCAGGAGGAGAGAGTCTCTCTGTCACTCATAATTTTCCTCTTCCCCTTTGAATTATTGTTTTGACCAGCAAAGGCCTCAGGGCTGATTCCACCCTGTCTCGGCAGCGCAGTGGCTCCAGCACCAGCTGAAAGCACATGGGGGTCGTAACGGAGCTGGGGGTTTGCCCCCCTGCTGCTGTGTTACCCTCCCCATGGGATGTCCTTGGGTTTGTGTGAAATCTGACAATTTCTAGCAGCAAACACTCCTGGAGGGCAGGACTCACAGCAAGTGAAGCTGTGGCTGCCCCATCCCTGGAGGGGTTCAAGGCCAGGTTGGACGGGGCTTGGAGCAACCTGGGCTGGTGGGAGGTGTCCCTGCCCAGGGCAGGGGGTGGCACTGGATGAGCTTTGAAATGGGTTGAACACTTTGGATTTGGCTGGAATAGTTGTGGTTTGGATCCATCTTCTTACCAGCAGAGCTGGCAGCAGCTGTAGCGTAGCCCTTTTCACCCAGTGCTGGAAGAGGTTGGAAGTGGGATCGAGCTGATGTAATTGAGCTGATCTTAAAATAGACAATAGCCAAAGATTGCTGAAGTAATCGCTCCTCTGCTCCTGATCACAGAAAATCCCTACAGGGTTTGTCCCCTTTTGCTGCCTCTTGTCGAATTGCAGAACAGGCACCACTCAACTCTATTAATAGATCTTTTGAACATGATTAATTGGGTTTTTAAGTGGGTTAGTTTCTTCCAAAATTTCTTGCTGACAAAGCACCACTTGCACTGTCCCCCTGGGATGCTCTGTTTTCATGGCATCACCTGAAACTCTTTCCTCTTGTGATTTTCTGCATGAGGTTTTTAGCAGGAGCCTGTTTTATTCCCTGTTTGGTTTTCTCTGCCCCTCACCTGCGGGAAGGACCCCCCTGCCCTGTGCCGCGTTGCAGCCACCGAGTGCTCGGGCCCGGGCTGCCCTCCTGCCTCCCCAGCTCCTCTCCTCCTCCTCCTCCAGCCCCTTCTGCAGATGGACTGGGCTCGCAGCCTCTTCCCAGAGTTTTGTTTGGTTTATTTTTAATGCTGTCCTAAGGTGAAATATTTTTTCATGGTTTGTCAAACAAGATTATGGATTTGACTGTAAAACTATGACTCATCTCAGCCTTCATTTTTCTTATTAAGAATGATCCTGGAGGAAAGTGCAAATGAAAATGTCAGCTCTGTCATAAATAATGTACAAATGACAGGCAGGAGGGGGGTCTCCCAGACCCTCTTTCTAGCCACAGATGTGGAAAAGAAACCCGTTTTGGAGGGCTGGGTCTGCTGTTTGTGCAAGTTCTATCATCCTTCTGACTTCATTGCATTAAGTGTTTACATCATCCAGGTATTAAGCATTTGAGCTTATAGCTGTTATTCTTAGCTGATTCTCTGAACATATTTCATCTCCCTGATACTTATTTCCGCAAGTAACGTTATATCCAGAGTGCAATTAAACTAATAATTCTGTGCCCTGTGATTGTCAGGAAGCCACTTTTAAAGATTTAATGCCTCAAAAGAGAAAAATTAGGGTGGACCAGCAGTAAGAAATTAAATGCTAGGCAGTTCTTCAGCACACACCGTGTAACGCTGCTGAGAAGCAGCCTGGTGTGTCGCAGTCGATAGCGAGGGGCACAGATTGTGTTTCTGGTCACAGACATGAGATGTCAAGGGCGTGCTCAGGTCCCAGCCTCGGGGTAGGGATGAGGTAAGAATATATTATACACATAGTGATCACAAGTGCCAGAAACCTTACATTTAATGTCAGTGCCTGTTGTAAAATGCAGTGGGAACTAATGAAAATAAACATTTCTTCTCTCTTCTCTTTTAAGGAGGAGAATCTTACTGGGGAAAACCTTTCAAAGACGAATTTAAGCCCAATTTGTCCCACACGGGGCGTGGTGTTCTCAGTATGGCCAATTCGGGACCCAACACAAACAAATCACAGTTGTAAGTAGTCACTTGTTTTTTGTGTTCTATTGTTTCCCTCCAGACATTGTGTCTTACTCTGTTAAGAAAACAAATGACATTTTACGAGCTACTCTTTAAAGTTCAGTCAAGTGAAAGATGCTGTCGAGTGCTGCGTATTGAAATCGGGGTGGCTGCAGCTGCTCCGACCCAATCGAAGAGCAAAGTGAGGCACGGCAAGAACCTGTAGGTTTATAGTATCATCATTAATTTGTCTTTTCTGGTTTTATGATTTAAGGCTTGGTTCATTTTTGTCAGTGTTCCCCCACGGAAAGATCATTATACCTCTCCACTCTCTGCAAATATAGTCCCTCATTGAACTTTTTGAAGGGGCTCAATGAAATGAGATGTTACACTCCACGGGAACGGTGCTGGTTTTCCCTCACCTGATTTGAAATGAGTGAGAGCAGTTCTGCTCTGCTGAGATGTGCAGAACCAGACATGGCAGAGTGCAGGGTCTGGGGCTGAGAATGATGCGAGTTTCCATGTACAAAAGCAGAACGAAGACTAAAATGATGAAAAAATGAATGAAGAAGCAGGAAGAACAAACAAAATGTAAAGATACTGAAGTTGTAATAACCTTGTTTGTGTGTGTGCGCACAGCAGTGCGTGTTGGGACCAGGGAGGGGGGCAAGGGGGGGGTTCCTGGCGTTGGTCGTCATGATGCTAAGTATTACTATGGCTTGTGAACTATGCAGCAGTGTAGCTGGCTTTAATTAAACACAAGTGCTCGTCTCAGAGCTTTTAATAGGCTCACTCACGTCCTGCAGGCCAAGCACACGCTGGGCAGTTTGCAGGATTGAGTTGCTGTAGGGCTTATTTTGGATCTGAATGTCACTGCCAGCACTCAGGTGCTACATCAGGGGAGAGCAGAGCCACTTTTTTTAAAAATAAAAAGGGATTCTAGAAACAGAGGTTATAGACAGTTCATGAGTGATGTGCCATAGTGAGTCACATCATCTGCTGCTGCAAATGTGACTGTATGTTTCCCTAAAATTTGCGAATGAAATATGAAATTCCTTTATATGTGAAGTCCCTGAGAGACTCCAGCTGCCCGTATTTATAAAGTTTCCCAAGCAGCATTTAGACACTTCTGGCAGCTGCTGTGACCTGAGGAGCTGGGTGAATGGCTGTCACTGCAGCACAGGGTGAGCTGCAGCCCCCGGGTGAGGAGGGCTGGAGAAATGCTCTGGGCTTCTCCTCCAGGATCATCCCGAGTTACATTAGTTCCATTGTCCTTCATTTTATTGTCACTGCGGTGATGGGTGAAAAGCTTTCTTTGTATATTTGCTACTGCTCAGATGTTTGTTATTGCAATGCTACATAGCTGACCACTTGATAACCTGAAGTATGGGATAACTGGGAGTGAGGTGGTGGGAAGGACCCGTGCACGGGGCTAAGTCTCAGTGGTTGCCCTGTGCAGGAGTTCCCATTCTGCACAGCCTCCCGAAGCTTTCCTGGGGCTGGCTGCGTCTTAATAGCTTGCCTGGCAGATTGCAGCCCCTCCTGTCTGCAACCATATAACTTCCTGAGGCAGTTGCTTATATGGAAAAGTGCTTTTGGAATGCCTATATATTTTTAGCTGTCTCTAATGTAGTGTAGCAGATGGAGACAGGGAGGGGAGCCAGCACTGCATGTCCAGCCAAGATGGGCCATCGTGGTCTGCAGACCACAGCGTGGAAACCTCTGTCTCATCTGCCTGGCGTCCAAGTCTCCCAAAGAAGCTCTAAGCTTTAGAGAAAAGTTCTAGTGGTAAAGGTTGCTTTGGATTTGGTGCTTTGGTTTCCATGTTTAAATTTAAAAATACAACCCCCAAAATTAGAAGTCCAGTTAATTAAAAACCAAAAATCCAAGTTTCACAGGTTTTCAGTATGTTTGACTCCTTGAAGTATTCTTCTGCCACATTTGTATCCCAAGAACAAATTTGCTGTGTCGAGAGGAGAAGTGGATTGCTGTCAGGCCAATTTATTGGAAGAAAAATTCAAAAAGTAAATATCCTAAAAGACAGAAGTTGTTGGCACTGGCAGAGCCCGCAGTGTCACAGAGCTGTATTTGGGGGACACAAGCTCGCCATCGTGCACGAGAAATGTACTTCTCGAGCAGGGGGCACCTCTCCATCCTGCGGGCCCTGCCTGGCCAAGGGGCAGCTGTCCAGGTTCATTCTGGATCCCTGCAGGTCGCCGTGCTCGGAGTGCTGCTCAGAGGGGTTAGTGAGGTGTGAAAACGAGAAGCCAGAACTCCAGAAATCCAAGACAAAATCCACAACACAGAGGAGTTAAAGGGTGTCTGGCCAGAGAGGAGCCAGAGAGGGAAGGGCTTCTCTTCTCTCAGGGAGCTTCTGCATAGGATTTCTGTTTTTAAGCATCACTGGCTGTTGCTGAGCGTCCATGAGATAATGTGCTAACTGTTATGTCTTTATTCCTTCCAGCTTCATCACATTCCGCTCTTGTGCATATCTGGACAGGAAGCATACAGTTTTTGGAAGGTAAGTGAAGGATATTATGGCAGCAGTATAGCAGACACGCTCTCCTGTGTGTCTGAAGCATCCACTGACTCTTGACATGGAACTGGAGGAAACTCCCAGCTCACAAGCTGGTTCTCCTCACCACGAGTAGGTGGCCAGTGTCGCATCAGTGCCAGTCATCAGACTCTGCCTTTTTTCCTCCTTCCATCACTGTTGGTTGCCTTACTTCCCTTCTGTGGGTGGCCCTCCAGGGAGTCGTGAGCACAGTAATCATCGTCCTGTAACCAACCCTGTTAATATTTGTGCATGCTAATTGCTGGGACATGAGAGATTACCTCTTCAGCACTGCTTTCATCTTCTCCCGAGCTGTCAGCCAGGAAATTAGTCATGGCAGGGCTGCTGTTCATCATGGCACAGAACACAGAGCTTCTGCATAGATTAGGTCTTTTCGCCCCTTTTGTTCATTTTTATTCTATTCTCCTTTTCTTTTATTCCTGACAGTTATGATCAGTATAAAATCTGTGTATTTGTGTGTGTACACATACAGAACATACATGTTTGTGTGTGTATATGCAAAGATATTGCCAGTGCCAAGACAGCAAGAGAACTTCACTCTTTATAAAGAAGTTAATTCCAAAAGTCTTTGCCAGTCAAGCCCTCGCATGATAAAGATCAAGGTATTTATGACAGAAGATAGTACAAAATCCTTATGTTACCGTGGCTTCCCCCGCTGCGGGTGCCGGTATTTACCCGGTCACGGTGCCTGTCCTCACGGCTGCCTCTGTGCTCCTGGCAGGGAGGGGAATGTCACTCACCTGCTCCATTGGTGGCTCCCGAGGATTTCACAGTCTTTTTTAAGTGAAGATCTGGTTTTTTATTCTTTAACAGTTTTGTCTGGTTGAAAAGCAGCAGTTGAAAATAAATGCATGTGCTGTTTGCTTCGACTGCATGTCATGCAATAGTGCTGTACTGTGAAAATGGTATATTCAGTCCATGTTCTTTCCCTGTGAGTTCTTGAGGCAGACGCTGGCTCCGTTTTAAACAGTTATTTTAGTTTTGATGCTTATTCTGCAGTAATTGAACCCTTCGAAATGTATTTCTTTTTCCTTTCTAAGGTCTGTCCTAAAAAAATTTAAAGTTCCCTTATCATTTGGTGGAAGCAAATTAACAAAGCAAATTCTGATATGGAAAGTTGAGAGCGAGTAGATTCTTGGAGGAGTTACATTACCTATATCTTAGGAGTATTTCACTTAAGCTACAATTTGACTCCTCCTTGCAAAAATCCCATTAAATTCCATAGGGTAATGCTGTTACCCTGAGCTTGCCACCTCACCAAACAGTATTTGGGTTAGGAGAGCTCAGCTGACAATGTTTTAGAATCGTGTTTGGCTCCCAGCATGAAAATAGAGTGGCATCTTCATCTGAACACAGCACAGATGAACTTTACCTTGGACTTTCTTGCATGTAAATGGAGATTAATTCGAAAAATGTAAAACTATGCTGCAATAGATTTATGTACACATTGAATAATGAAGTTTACCTACAAATTTAATATAAAAGGCAGCTGTTTTTACCTGCATTTGTTTTTAAAAGTCATAAAAGCCAAAAGATTGAAGAGATTGTACCTCTGGTGAAACTCCAGCCGGAGTTCTCTGTGTTGGATCGTGGGTGTTTCCTGGGTTCGCTGGCTCTATCTGATCTTAGGCTGTATGGTACAATAACATCTGGGAAGCATATCTAGAAATAATATCTGGGTTTGAGAATAGAACAAACCCATGAAACAAGAATTCTTTGTTTCCATGAATGTTAAATTGGATTGTCTTAACTGGATGCTCACTGGCCTGTTGTGACTTTCATATAGATTTGAGGATTACTTAGTTAATATTCAAACCTAAATACTCTGATCTCAGCTGTACCCTCAGCTATTTCTGTGTGGCTCTGGTTCATGGTAGTGAGTGTCACATACGTGTCTTTGAGAGCAGAATTTCGCCTGTTTGCAATTTGTATAGAACTTTCCAGCAGAATTTTCATACATTGGAGAGCAAAATGGAGCGAAAGAGCAACCGTTCCCCACCCCTCTATTCTTTTTTGGTCCTGTGTGGGATGGAACATTGCAGAGTTCCTTCCCTGGAGAGCTGCATCTTATTCATGTCCCCACTGGTCAGAAACACAATTTTTGCATAGCAGCAGCTATGGAGAGTTGGATTTTGGCTGTTAAGGGTGTTTGGCAAACACTGCAGCTGCAGGGGTGACGCGTGTCTCTCTCGGTGCCCTGGGGTTTTCAAGTCTCTGGAGAAGGTTGTGGCTGAGGAGAGGGAGGGCAGCCTGTGAACGTGCTGCCCACCTGGCAACGGTGAGGACGGATGTTACTGAAAATAAAGGAGATCACTTGGCATGGATGGGGAGCAAAAACAAAGGCAGAGAGTGAGAGAGGAATCTTTCCCTTGGAGGTGTGTTGCAGGCTGCACGGATTTCCTTCTCTGGCAGAGCTGCCGAGATTAAATTAGTAATTACCATTTCTGGTAATTACAATTTCTCCTGACTTAGAGAATGCTGTAACTCGTGTGAAAACTAACTGGTGGCTTTTGTTGGCTCCTAGCTGACTGGTAAGAGATTTACTTTGGAAACTCAAATGACATAAACCAACCAACATTCCCTTGCTCCGCGCAGAGGGGGTGAGCAGCCTGTGCAGGGGACGGCTGTGTGGGGGGGTGTGCATGAGGGCTCCCCAGTGTCCACGCTGTCACCAGGAGTCCAAACGCCACGTGAGCTGCAGGATGTCACCACCAGAGCACCAGTACAGGCCCGCGCTCCTGTCAGGCTGCTTTGGGAAATTCAGATGCAAGTGCATCCCATCCATGGTGTTGTGATGTTTTCTATTACTCCAGTGGTTCACAGTGCCTTATCCATGTGTTACGATATTTTCTATTACTCCAGTGGTTCACAGTGCCTGTGGGTCAGCGACCTGGTACATTTGCCCTTTCTAAGCAGAAATAGAAACATAATCTCTGTCCCAGGGAGCTGTGTAAGTAGAAAAGAGACTCCATGTAGATACAGGGAAGTCACAGTAGTGACCCCTCTCAGCCCACCTTCCACCAACAGTTTGCACTTTCTTCAGAACCAAGGAAAAAGAAAGCCCCAGGGAAAAATGAAGTGGCTTTGGGGGAGCCTGCTCCAGAAGTAAAGGGACACATGAAAATGAAAAAGTGCATGTTTAAGATAATAGTGGAAGGTGATCAAGCTGTGGTGATCAGCCAAAGGGGAGAAATGCACTCGGTGAGATTTGGGGTGAGATTTGGGATACACAGAGCATGGTGGGCTGGAAAGTGAGGGCAGGTTGCAGGTATGTGATGTGATAAAACGAAAAGCAATAGAGAGAGTGGAGGGAAGAGTGTTGTTGTCAGAGTGGCAAAGCTGGAAATGATCTGGGCAGCAGTTCTGTGTGTTTATTAGAATATTGCTTGTGTTGGTCAAGAACCCAGAAAAGGATGTGGCAACAGACGAGCTGAGTATATGGAGGTCAGTTTCCCCTCTGTGGGTGGCTGCACGTATCTGCTTACACAGATCTTCTTACTGTCTCTGGAGGTTTCTGCCGCTCATTCTTCCAGTTCTCCTGTTCCCTGAAATAATGAACAAGGTGGTTTGGGAAACCTCAGCCTCAGTCAAATTGGAGGCGTCATTCAGTGGCTGGCATGCTCTCGGCTTAGTCTTCTCTTTTCTTCCCTCCTCCCCTTGCCAGATGCTGTTGTGGAAGAGGGTTTTCTTTCTGTATTAAATATGCCTTGGCCTGTTTAGTGCTTTCTCCTGCAGTTCCAGAGTAGGGCAAAGAGAGTAACTCTTCTCTAAAGCGATGAGCTACATAGAGCAGCTACAAGGCATCGTTCTGCTGCCCGGGTACGGTCAAATAACGCACAGCGTCTGTTCCCACTGTAACATTCCCTGTGGGATGCGAATCCCTGAACCCCAGTGGTTTCTAAGCTGGGAAACTCCTGTTCCTGTTGCTCTTCTGCTGTAGCACATGTGAAGGGTGGAGAAACGGTGTGTCAGCAGCAGCAGAGCTGGTTTTGTCACTGACTGTAGGAGCCTGAGCCTGAGCCCACTCCCCATCCCACGGAGAGCAGCGAGGGGCAAGGTGGGAAGATGGAGCAGGAGCTGGGCAAGGGCTGGTGGCCTTTCCAGAACAGCCGTGTCATCTCCACAGAGGAGCTGGTCTCAGAGCAGGGAGGTCCTTAGCCAGGTTCATCTGTGAGTCTAGTTTCAAAATGCTTTTTTTCCAAGTTGCTTTGTTTTTCCAGCACCCTTCGTTGCCGTGTCTCACCGGCTGCATTAAGCCCTCATGAGAGACTCGGGCTGTTGCTCCGGTGGCGAGTCTGATTCTCAGGTGGGGTGTATCCGTAGGGAACATTTTGTCCCGAGCATACGTGTTTGTGCATGTATATATTGTTCTCTCTGTGTGTGCATATAAATGTATGTACTCCTTTTTATAAAAATAACCTTGAGGGCAGAATGTGTTTACAAAGCAACAATGCTTCTTTCTGGTTTCTAGTTTAAAGCATTTTTTTTTAAGAAGTCCAGACATTGTTCTTGTATCGTCTTCTGACCAGGAAACTCTGTCGTCTTGGACCACTGCCATCCCCAGCATTGCATAAGGCTTAATTCCTATAGTTCTTCTAAACAAAAATATGAGAAATAGGAAGTCCACGTGTGAAGGTCTGTGAGGCTGCTTGGAGCTGCAGTTTCCTTTGGGAGCAGCGGGACTGTCACTGGCTTATGGCAAAGGGAGAGAGCTTGCTCCAGATCCTTCACTCACGCTTCGTGCAGACACTGGTGGCTGTGAGGCAGGGTTACTAGTTTGCATAAAGGAGCCTTCACAGGAAGGGAGATTTTAAATAACATCTCAAAATTTGAAATGCAAAGATTTCCAGTGCTGCCTCAGCTCGGTTTTCAAGAAAACAGAATTGCACGAGTAAGGGCACATATTTGTTTTCATTACTCTGGTAACAGAAAAAACCTAAATGTACCTACCTTGTCATCCGTGCTTAAGTGTAATGCAACATTTATCAAGCTCCTCTAAAAATACAACAAGCTGTCTCAGGGCTGCTGAGCTAAATCCGTAGTTGAGATCATCGTTTCTCTGTTCAGCCTCGGCTGGAAGAACCCACCAAACCCTGGGCTTCGCTGGTGGTTCTCACCCAAGCGGGGCCACCCTCCGCGCTGCAGGGTGTCACCTCAGCCTCTGCTGAAGCCTCACCTGGGCAGTTTACTGATCTGATGGTGTTTTCCACATGTAACTTGTATGAGCTTTTTTCTTGGCAAGCCATCTCTGAGCTTTTCTTCTCACACCGAGCCCGTGTGCTGTGGGACAGGCAGGGAACCCCAAACCACCCTGCCGTGCTGCTTCCCTCCTCTGTGAGCAGCGGGTGCTGCAGCGGGTGCCAGTGCGTGGGCTCAGACACGTTATATCCCATCACACTCATTTTAGTGCCATGATGTAGCGTGAGGAGATTTGACAATAACAAGAGGTAATGTTTCGAGAGCCTGCACCTACATTGTCTCTCTGCTTGGACAAATCTGAGGAAAGTTTACAAAATCCTTTATGGTTTGAGACCTGACGTTGGTATATTCCTTTTTTTTTTTGCATCCAGCCACAACTGCCCTGATTACTGTGTAGTTCATTTTTCACTGGATGGGTGATGTTTGCAATCAGATCTTGTCCTCTCTGGATTTTAATTTTTATTGATGCAACACAAGCCTCAGCTGGGCCTGATCCGTGACAAAACTCCCAGGTGCTCCCTGAGCAAAAATGATTTGCAAATTATTTCCAGTTCCTCTGGTCAGAGCTCTCTTCTCTGACCTGGTGGTGTGTATTCCAATTAATTACAGTTTTTTATTGGCATTATGGCAGTGCCTAAAGACATAGACCTGCATTGAGAGCTCACTGTGCTGGCACTGGAATATGCATAGAGATACCCTGTGCAAAATGTTAGAGAATGCAGGGGGCTAAACCAGAGCAGCTTTCCATTTTAGAGATAAGAAGCTAAGAAGAAAGGAGGACGACATGCTCTGCAGGCATAACAACAATGTCAAAATAGACTATTTAGGTCATTTACTGATGACCTGTGAATGGCATGTCTATCATAGCCTTTTAAAATGTACAAGTGACAAAGTATTCCCAATAAAGTTTAATTAGCGTAGCAGCTGAAGATTCATGAGCATCGCCAAATGCGTTAGGGCTAATGTTGTGGGAGGTCTAGCTACGGGCTGGGGGATTACTCAGCTGAGATGCCAGTGCGTAGCTGATCTGGCCATTTGAAATTATCAGAACCTAATTAAATGAAAACACACAGGCAGATAATGAATGGAGCTGTTGGCTAGAAAATCCTCCAATATTAAATCAGAAGTTTCCTTTAGGGGCAATTAAAATACAGTGAATATATCTTAGGCTGTGTGTTAATCATCAGTATTAGAAGCAAATCTGATACTGGCCTGGAGGAGGATTTTTAAATTGAGTTTTTGTTACGAACTTTAAAAAGTTCATGCAGGGTCTTCCAGCCCTTCCCCCAGTGCGCTGCCTCCAGTTGTGAAGGAATGAGGCTGTTCTAGCCTGCCATCGTGGTTTTTAATTGCTCTTAAACGTCCCAGCCTGATTATGGATTGCACAGCCCGTGGGGAGGGGGGAAGGAGCAGAGGGTCTGGAGCAGTGATGCAGTGTCAGCGGGGACGGCCCTGCTCGGGGACGGTGCTGGGCAGTGTCCTCGCTCCTCACGGAGCTCTATCTTCTGTGATGGGCTCTGTCTTCTGGGTGGCATCCGGGGCCCGTCCCAGCCCCTGGGGCTGCACTGGGGCTGCACTGGGCACGGGGGGCAAAGGAGAGGGACCCGTTTGCCCGTTTTACCACGGGGTTGGCTGGTTCCCTTTGGCTGCCATGGCTGGTGGAGGAGCTCCTCAGGCGTCTGGGTGTCGTGGAGGGGCAGCAGAAGGTGTGTTTCTCTGCAGGAGCAGCTGAGCCCATGGCTGGTGATGGTGTGCTAGTACTGGAGCCCCACTAAGCCCAGCAATCGGGTTTCAAAGCAGTTGCCACCCCAGGAAGGCTCGTGGCTTTTCAGCCCTGGGCTCCTCAACAGCCAGGTCCTGCCGAGCTGCCGGCCCCAGGCTCCTCCGCCTCCAGGAACAGCTTTTTTGAGAATTACTGCTGCTTTGCATTGTCCCACAGCCGTTAATGTGGGCTGTATTTTTGGTTCCTGGCCATGTGGCTTGGCTGTGTTAAAGCAGATGTTGTCCAGCCACAGCCAGCTTCTCCAAGGGATCTGGATCGCTCGGCATCGGCGGCCTGTCTTCAGCTTTATTTACGGCTCTTCTAAGTATAGCTGTTTTCAAATTTAATTGGGGATGATGATGTGGATAAAAGTGTTAAATACCCTGGGACTGAGATCTGATCCCAGCAGGATGCCTCGGGAAACGTACTGACTCAGTGGTTTCTATTTAAAATTAGGTTTTGACACCTGTCAGCCAATTTTTTATTTAATGTGTGCTGTGTTCCCTTCATATTGTTCTGGTTTCTCGATCAAAATACCAGCCGCCTTCCAGAGCTCTGTTCCGTGGCCACTGTTATCCCTGTGAACCACATCTGTCGTCTCAGAGATAGACGGTTGTTTGACAGACTCTGTTTTCCACAAAACCTTGTTGATTGTTGTTACTTATTTCCTTTCTTTCTTAATCATGTCCTGTCTCCGCTATTCCATTATTTTGCTGGGATAGATGCCAGGATGACAGGCTTATAATTATCTGGGTCACCCCATTTATCCTTTCTAAATATCCTTTTCTGGAACTTTCCCATTGTTCCACACTTTTTTTGGAAAATGAACATGCAGCAGTCCAGAAAGTCTTCGGCCTTTCTTCAATGTTTTGCAGCGAGTATTTGGATATGTTGACGCGAAATCGAGAGGCCAGGGGTCTGACAGCCTCCTAGACAGAAACCATGAGCAGTGTCCCGGCGTGTCCTGTGGCCGTGGCTGGGCTCTCTGCTGCCCAGGCCCTGCCGAGCTCACCGCCCTCATGTTGACATGTTAATGAAAACTTTTGCTTTGTTGACCAAATCTGTTGGTTGGGTTTTTTTAAAGCTCATGGGAGTAACAGATGAGATCTAAATTGATGGATGTAGCACTAGTGAACCCGTTCTGAAATGGGTTTCTGTCTTCTGGCGCAGTCGGCTGCCCACAGAGCCCAGTCCCTGCCTGGCTGCCTTGTGTGGCTGCCGGGCTCTTGCACAGATGGCTTGGCTTTGCCTCTGCATGTTGGACTTCTCTTCTGTTTAATTTTGAAGTCAAATCCCAGACTTGAGAAAAAATCCTTACCTTCCACATTGAATGACGTCATCTTGGGTCTTCCAAATACAGTTGTTGATTCCCCTTCCCCAGGACACAATGGTTTAAAAATCTGCTAGAGTAATGGGCATAAATTAGATGTATTAGATGTGAGAGTGCAGGAGTATTCTGAGCTTGTTGTGACATCTGAAAATCATGTCCTTCCTCTTTTAGGGTGGTTGGTGGCTTTGAGACTCTGACTGCGATGGAGAATGTGGAAAGTGACCCAAAAACAGACCGCCCCAAGGTACGTGTGAAGCCCCGGGGGTTGTGTGGGATGGGGGGGACACGCGTGGCCTCCTGTGGCACCGCAGCTCACCCGCTGCTGCGAGCGCCAAGCCTGGGGAGGTGGCACAGCCTCATCCATGGATCAATTCTCTCTTCTCTTCTGCTCCCAGGAGGAAATACGAATTGAGACAACAACTGTCTTTGTTGATCCGTACGAAGAGGCAGATGCCCAGGTGAGGTCGTTGGTTGGTTGGTTTTTTTGAAAGGCCAAATGTCTTCTTTAGAGAATTCTGTGAGTTAATGCCTTCTCTTTGAACACGGGCAGCCCCCAGCCCGTATGGTGTGAGCTGAGATTAAGCAGCTGCCGCTCAGCATTGCCCCGTGTGCCAGGGCCATCACTGCCCTTTCACAGAGGGGTTTGTAGCCCAGCCTGGCACTGCTCCCAGTCAGTCCATCAGGCTCACGATGGGCTCCTTCCCAGTGCCCACAGCAGCTGTGGGCAGCGGCAGGTGAGAAGAGAGTTGTGTTATAAAGGCTGCTCACGGGCCCTGGAGGCTGCCCTGTAATAACAGGTGCTGATTGCTGCTCTAGAGTGCTTTGAAGCTTCCAAGAATTGTAGACAGTTTTTCCTTACCCTGGACTAGCTCTTGTGACAGACTGTGCTCTCTGCTCCCACAGGTTGCTGCAGAAAGAGAGAAGGTCCGGCTAGAAGAAGAAGCAGCAAAAGCAAAAGCTGAGGTGGTCCCACCAAAGAAAGAGGTCCAGGCTCCTAAAACTTACCGGCAGGGGATTGGAAAATACATCAACATGGCTGCAGCGTGAGTTCCCTGCCCGTCTTGTCTTTGTTGAGTGTTGTAGTTGCCTTTCCTGCTGGAGGCTGACCCTGCCCAGGGCCATTGCCCAGGTGTTCGGTGCGTGCCAGCAGGCTGCAAAGACACTCTTGTGTGGTCCCAACAGTCAAGAGTTCTCTCTGCTGATGTTGTTTTTCAAGATTACAAGTTAACTGAGCTTTTCCTTTAGCACTGAACACGACCCAGTTGGTCTTTAATGTGTGCTGCCCTCAGAGCTGTAGAAACATTTTCACAACTCAGAAGTCCTTGAGGAACTCTGCTGTGCCACTTCCTACACCATCTTGTATTCTCTTCCTCTTCTGCAGCTATTTCTGAAGCCACAGTCCCACAGATGTTTTGCTTTTAGCAGCTTCTGCCCTGCACGAAGTTGCTGCCATAAACCCCTGTCGCTGCTCTCTGGTTCCTGCTCAGCCACACGAACGGTCCTACCAGCCGAACCGCCGGGGCCGGGCAGGGAGCAGGTTCCCAGGCTGCTGTGGGAGCACTGGGTGTCTGGCAGTAGCTGCAGGGAGCCTGGCTGGTTGTACAGGCTCCTCCTAAAGCTCCTCTCCCACACACCTTTGTACGCCCCTTGGGACTGGCAGCATCACCTGCTTTCCTGAGGACAGTACAGAATCCCATCCCAGTGGCAGCTTTGCATGCGTTTTGGATAAATTAAAATAAGTGCCTTCCATTTGTTTTTCGCAGACTTCTCTAAAAGCATTTGCAAAAATGCTGCTGTCTGTCTGCTGCGTAAAGGCGTGTATTTATGCACACACACAGATGTGGACAGCTATTGAATCAGCTTGTGTGTGCCTGCGTGATTTACGGGCATTTGCATAACTGTGAGAACACAAAATCTTAGCCCATGTAGGTCAGTTTGGTGTCTCCCTTGAGCGTTTCAGCTTAAAATTGCTGCCATTCTCCACTGTATTTACAGAGGAAACCTGGGCAGAGCTTGCAGCTCTGTGGAAAAGGGCAAGTAGTATAGAAGGGACTTTCCTTCCCTGGTGCTTCCCTCATGGCAGCCTGCCTTCAGACTGGGAGTCTGGTCCATAGCAGCCCTTTGGCAGGTGCGGGAGTGATTTGATGGGGTTGCACACTCTACTTGAGGGAGGCTGAGAACAGCAGCAGGGACTGCAACAGGCTGTGCTCAAGGAGCAGAAAAGGATCTGAAAAACTCACTCAGCTGCTTTACACCAAATTCCCCCTAAATCCTTTTGCTGCCACAAACACAGGTGAGAAGGTGGGGAGAGAACCTGTGGCTCATGTTTTCATCATGACTGAGCTAAAAAAGTACAGCTGTTAAATCTTCAGCTCTGGCCTGGAGAACTTGTTGGGTTTTCAACACTTCCCTGGAAGTGTCCAGAGCCTGACCTGAACCATCCCCATGCACTGACACGCTCTCCCAAAGGCCCTGTCCCCACCCCGTGTCCCCTGGGCTGGCACAGAGCTTCTGGTTGACAAGAGATGGGCTCCTGTCCTTCCACGGGAGAGGAAAAGCCCCCAGCTCCCCCCGAACAGTAAATGGTCCCTGAGCTGTTTTCATTTTGTCCCCAGGAAGCGCAGCGCGGAGGACGACGGGCCCTCGACCAGCGCGGCTGCGAAGAAGGAGAAGAAGAGCTCGGGCTTTGGGGACTTCAGCTCCTGGTAGCGGTGGGGGAGCCCAGCCCTGGAGCCCCAGAGAGGGAGCAGCCGCCCCCGCGTCCCCCGACAGCCCGAAAGACAGTCTGTCCTGGGGAGGAAAGGCACCGGCTGCCCTCCCCCTGGGGAAGAAAACTGTTGCTTTGTTAAGGCCGGTTAATGTGGCTTTGTTTTCTAGAGGGCTGCCTTCCCCCCACAGCATCTTCCTTGAAGGCCTTTTGTTGTTGTTTGCTGGGCAGGGAGGAGGGTCCCGGCTCCGTGGGGATGAGCCGGAGCCTTTCTCCCGCTGGCGGCAGAGCCGGCCATGCAGGGCTGGAGACAGAGCTGCTTTTGCAGGTAATCATTCCCAGAGCAGCCACGTCTGCCAAACGACAAGGCAGTGGATGTGCTGGGGGGGCCGTGCTGCTGGAGCTCGGCCGAGGGGAGCAGAGGGCTCCAGCCACCCCTGCCCTTCCCGCTGCCTTCGCTGCTGCTCAGCAAGGACCTGCTCTGGCTCCTGCTTCTGGCTGGACTGGCTGCTCTCGGTCTCCTCAGGGCTTGCTTGCTCCAAAATACGGGCTCTCTGGACCCGTTTTTGCCTCTGACAGAAGTGAATCTAGATGGGGAGCCTGGGGTGGCCACACCGGTTGTTCCTCCCAGTGGCTGCCCTTCCCCGAGCCACTGGGCAACCAGCAGGGCCAGGACGTGTCAGTTCAAACCTCCCTCAGGTCCCAGGAGTCACAGCCTGCAGCAACTGAGCAGGAATCGAACCAACTTGGGGTTTTTCTGGTTTTTTGTTTTGTTTTTTTTTTAACCATCCCTAAAGCCTGGTCCTCGCAGGGGAACACGTGCCGTGGTCTGCCCCAGCATCCCCCAGTGTTGGAGAAAACCATGTGAGGCATCTCAGGTATTTCCGTTGCCCACCCACAAATTATTAGGAAGTTTAGCAAAGGCCTTACGGGGTGAAGCTGTCTCAGCCTGTGAACGTGTGTGTTACCATCCCTTGGCTGTAGCAGGCCAGATCCTGACCCGTTGCTTTTCAGCTCATCCTCGGTGTTTCCAGATAACAGAAGTGCTCTCCCTACCTCTCTGCGTGGCTGAGGAGATAGTTTTGTAATCAGCTTTGTAACAAGACATTTATATTGGTGGTTCTGTGTTTTAAGAGACGATTCCATTTCTATGAAATTGATGTAAAACCTTTTGGTAAAATGTTTTGCATTAAATGCTTTTATTTTCTTTTCGAGTGCTGGCTTTGGCTGTTCAACTGTCATTTCCAAGATCGTGGCATTGCACGGTTGATTGTCGTACAAGGAAATGATTCATTCCTGCTTTTTAAGATGCTTATAGGGAACTCTGGGATCTCTGCGGATGTGATTACATCTCTGTTAAATCATAGGAAGTTCAAACTACTCTGAAAGAATAATGGGGGGGTTGTTTTGCAGCACTTTGCAGTGTATCAGTCTGGTATAACACGTGTTTGATTCTCGGAACAGGGGATACGATGGTACTTTCCTCAGGCTGAGTTTCTCATGTCTTACTGAAACCTGTTGCTTCTCCTGGGCTGGCCCTTTCCTGATAAATTGTTATTGATCCCCTCTGCCTACGGCCCGTTTTTGAGCCGTCACGTTGACAGAATTGCTAGAGCTGGAACAGGCAGCTTAATGAAATCCGTGAGAGTAAAATGCTTTTTGTGTACTAGATTAAAATGGAGATTATTATGGAAGAAAGGGGCTTTTGATTGCCAGGAGGGCAGCAGAGGTGTGCCAAGGACTCTGGTGTCAGCAGGATTCCTTGTTGCAGAGTGATACAAGGGACGGTGGTGGAGGGAGCTGCCCACTGTCCCTTTCTGCTCCAGCCCTTGGGCAGCGCTCGCTGCGGGAGGGAGCAATTCCCAAATTCCCACCCTGACACCGGGCACACAAAGAAAGAGCCATTTCCCGGCTTCGAGGAAGGGCTGAGCGTAACCCTTTCAGTTTTGCTCCAAGCAGGGGTGAAGCTCTTTGTCCTCTGTTCACCTGGGCCCAGGCTGGTCTGAGGGTGCTCCCACCGGGACACGGTGACACGAGCTCTTTTTGAAAGCTGTGGGGAGCACTGACCCACACTGGGGGGGCAGGAGGTGGGTGCCCAGAGAGCGGGGCAGGGTGGTGCAGCCCTCGCTGTTACAAAGCCTGGCTCTTTCCTGGGCAACTCGCAGAGGTTCCTCTACCTGAGTCAGGAAGGGGGAGGCAGGAGGCTTTGCTGGAACCTTCTCTGCCCCTTTCATGGCTTGGTTCTCCAGCAGGGACAGGGTGGTGAAGGAATTCCCAAAGCAGCTCCTGCCCTGGGCTGCGCAGCCTGGCACAACCTGGCTCCTGGGAACCCCTGTGCCATCTGTAAGTACATTTTTACAGTCTTTGTCTTTGATGCTTTTCCAGGAAAGAGCCATTTCCTGGCTTCGAGGAAGGGCTGAGCGTAACCCTTTCAGTTTTGCTCCAAGCAGGGGTGAAGCTCTTTGTCCTCTGTTCACCTGGGCCCAGGCTGGTCTGAGGGTGCTCCCACCGGGACACGGTGACACGAGCTCTTCTGAGGAAGCTGTGGGGAGCGCTGACCCACACTGGGGGGGCAGGAGGTGGGTGCCCAGAGAGCGGGGCAGGGTGGTGCAGCCCTCGCTGTTACAAAGCCTGGCTCTTTCCTGGGCAACTCGCAGAGGTTCCTCTACCTGAGTCAGGAAGGGGGAGGCAGGAGGCTTTGCTGGAACCTTCTCTGCCCCTTTCATGGCTTGGTTCTCCAGCAGGGACAGGGTGGTGAAGGAATTCCCAAAGCAGCTCCTGCCCTGGGCTGCGCAGCCTGGCACCACCTGGCTCCTGGGAACCCCTGTGCCATCTGTAAGTACATTTTTACAGTCTTTGTCTTTGATGCTTTTCCAGTAAATGTGCTTAGAAAGAAAAAGCAGGATTGTAACCAGAGGCTGAAGTAGCTGTTGTCTGGCCTTGACCAGAGTCACGTGGGACGGACACCAAGGTGGCTCTGAACAGCATCTGCTCAGTGCTGCTCGGAGCTGGGGGGGGCTGACCCCACAGGACACGCTGGGGCTGGGGGCCCTGGCACCGCTCTGCTGCAGAGCCCGGACCCCGTGCGTGGGGGGGGGACAAGGCCGTGTCCGTCACGGGGCTCCCGGTGCGGCGGCGGAGCGGGGGCTGCGGCGGTGCCTCGGCCGGGCCGGCACTGACTCACCCTGCGCCGAGCTCAGGCGCTGCAGCCGCTGACTTCATCCGCTGGAAATAGCAACCGAGGAGGAGCCGTCTCCCTGTCACCACCAAACCCCTACAGACACACGGCACCCAGCCCCAGCCCTGGGCGCTGGCTGTCCCCGGGGAGCAGCAGCCCCCCGTCTCGCCCCCAGCCCGGGCAGAGGCTGGAGCTGCTCGGTGCGGGACGGGACAGGACGGGACAGGACGGGTCCCCGTGGCTGCACGGGGCCGATGGCGTTGGCCATCCGAGGTGCTGCCGGCCCCACGAGGGACAGCAGGAGATGCTGCTGCAGGAGTTGGTGGAGTCAAAGGGTTTCAAGGCTGGAGAGATCCCGGCTTTGTCTGTCCCTCCTGCTCCTACGGCACAATTCACACTGAGCCAATAATGTCTTCGTGGCTAAAACATGTTTTCAGAACGCACCCGGCTCCCTGCGAAGGTCCAAGGGAAAGTCAATCCCGCAGTTCCCCTGGCAGCAACGCTGCCCCTGTGTCCTGTGGCAAGAGACCAGCTCCTGCCCCCCCTCCCCGCGCTGCAGGGAAGTTTTGGGGATTAAAGCCCCCCTTTGGGCAGTTTGGTCCCTGGGGAAGGGCTGGGGTCGATGGGTGGAAGCAGATCGGGGCTGTACCCCTGGGGCTGTGCTTGGGGCAGCTTCCCAGGCCCCTCTGCAGCTCCTGACGTCACAGAGCGGCCGAATCTTCCCTTTTACACAGAAAAAAAAAAAGGGCTCATCTGCAATCACAGCAGGCTGCGTCTGACAGCTCATAACTTAATGGCTTTTGAAAAATAGCCGCAGCCCGTTTCCAACGCGGGTCAAGTTCTCCCCCACCCCGCCCCTGGAAAGCCTTCCCAGCTCTCACTTTTCTGATATTAGATACTTTCTCTAATCTTTGGCCTTCATTTATTAATGGCTAATTATATCTATTTGCTTTTGTGCCAACATTGTCCTTTAGCTTGAATAGCTTTTCTCCCTCCCTAATGCTTGCTTCCCAGCGCTATTTATAGGCAGCACTTGTATCCCCCCGCAGCCACTGTTTTGCTTGGCCACCCCGGCTGCCTCCGGCTCCTCCGAGTGACCCGTCCCCTCCTGCCCCCCTCCGT